AGAGGCAGAGGGCAAGCGCAGGCGGCGGGCAGGGTCCCGCCGCGCCGGAGCTGTCCAGCGCCGCAACCTCCTGAAGGCGCCGTGCCCCCCGCAGCCCGCGGCGCGGGCCCTGCCCTCCGGAGCAACCCAACCCCGGCCGGCGCGGCTGCTGGGGCAGGGAGAAGCGGCAAAAAGCGAGAAATTTAAGATCAATTACAAGGCCGACGTTCCTTGTCGGCACACAACAGCGAGCGGTGCAAAATCTGGAAGGTCAGGGGTGAGTCAGGATTCACATCATCATTCCAAGGCTCAAGTGGAGAACAACAGCCAGAGTGAGACGGGGAAACGCTAAGAGACGTGAGCTACAAGGGGAGGTGAACCCTCTGCCTTAGGGCATCAGAAACACCAGAGTCAGGGTCAGCAACAAGCAAGTCAAGGTGCAGGGTAGTGCAGCAATTCACAGGAACCACCAGTCTCTCCAGTAACGCGCGTGGTTGGATTGCACAGCCCAATGGCCTCTGTGAGTCTGTGGTACTTTCGCAGGAGCAGGCTACCTCCTCATTGCCCTCCTCTGGATTTATACACCCCCGACAGAGACCAACCTCCCCACATAACCCAGCATGGCAGTCCCCACCTTGTCCTGTTTTAGTTGATCGTATTTCTGGACTTTTCACTCTCCTCATTTCATAGGTGGGAGAGTTAGGGGTCAACCGGATTGTGGTTTAAATCTTGCCGTGAAAGGTTCTGCTCTCATATAGATGGAGCAGGAGACAGTTAATTTGATTTATTCAGATGCTTTCTGATCTTTCCTGCAGCTGTAACTATTGGTTACAAAACCATAGTTTTTATGGCAATTAATTCTCTAGCTCAGGCAAATATGACCACTTCCAAGCACTCCTGCCAAACCCCTCCCACACACATAAGAAAATCACAATTTTCAGGTCCAATGTCTTGGGATCTCCGTGGCCCAGAAGCAATGTTAAGCTGGGAATATCCCCTCTCTGGCAGTACACAGTCCTTGTATTTAATCCAGATAATTTGTAAGATAGCATATATTAAACCTGGCACTGGCTTTTATTAGTCCCCAGTGCAATTCTAGGAAGGGATTCCACATTTCAAGGCAAAAAAGAAGCACTTCTACTGCCAGCAATTAACAAACGGTGGATGTTTGAGCCTTGATGTGCCAGAGGCCAGCTCTTATTAGATGAGTTTCCAGGAAGGATGCAGAAGAGGCAGCCTAAGTGAATGTAGCCCATCACATGCCCCATGATTTATGACATGAATTCAACTCCACAAATGATGCTTTGGATCCTGCCCAGGGAGAAGTGCTCTGTCTGATAATGTTACAGAGGCTTTTGCAGGTCCAGCCTGAGCCCTCCACTGAGCCCCACTGCAGTGTCTTTGTTGAATTACTAATAGCCCACAAATTACACATCGCAGTGCCTCGCTCACACAGTGGTGAGCCCTAAGGACATATTTTGTCTAGCCTGCTCACTGCACACTGAGCATCCTTCGCAGCCATTCCACACTAGTGATTTTTACATCTCAAAATACTGCTAGGAGCACAATTTCCCACTCAGGCTCCAGATGGGACCCAGGAGATGCTGAATGTGAGTGGCTGCTTAAAACAAAGTCACACATGGTCAGGAGGAATTCAGACCAGGAAATCCCTGCTTGCCTCCTGTGGCCAGCTATTCCAGCTACTACAAGAAAGGTGTTTGGACATTAGCTCCGACTTCCACTTGCAAATATTCCAACATTTGCACCTTGCCTGTTCTACTCCAGAGTCAGACAAGACCTAAGACTCAGAAATAAGCAAACGGCCTGAAAATGAAAAGCCTCTGCCTCCCTCCGTCAGGCAGGCACCTGTACCGAGCCCTCTGCTAGCCAGGGGAGGAGAGAGAACATCATCATTTTTTGCTGGGCAGCAGGAGCGTGCTGGTGAATTAACCATGCCCTCAATTCTATAGGGAACGGTAATTTGTGCCCTAAGGAGCAGGGGGTTGCTGCATGCAGGGAGGGGAGGGAACAGGGCTGTGCATTCAGGTCACATTCAATGGGGGCTGTCAGATCTCTTCCATCTAAACCGCTTCATCACACTATTATTATTTACCAAGCCCTGTTTGTGCTTGGGGGGGGGGTTACAAATGGGAAGAGAAGAGGCCCAAGCCCTATGGTGCTCACCCGATGGCAGCAGGACCACCAAAGCCCAGTGGAGCTGGAGGTGCCCCAAACTACCTCCATCAGGCAGAGGTGCAGGGGGCTGCACAGATCCTTGGGCTCAGGGGCTGGAGGCTGCGGGGAAGGTGGGACTCAAGGAGGACCTTGGGGAGCAAGGGGGGGGTCACTCCACAGATGCAGAGAGATTGATCTAGGCACAAAGCCAGCGAGGCAGAGGACAGCTGTTGGGAAAATCTGGGCAGCAACAGGAGTCAAAGGGAACAGCAGTGAAGGGGGATGAGGTTTGAAGGTCAGGATTCAAGAGCTCTCTGGTCTCATGGGGGCTGAGAGAAGCAGATCCTCGCATTCACCTATGTCGTGGTGGCAGCCACAGCCCAGGTGCTAACGGAGGGAGCAGCAACCTGCCCCATGCAGCCCCCAGCGAAGGGCTGGGTCCCTGCAGAGACTGCGGGAGAGCCCAGAGCCCGTCTGGGGGCAGCTGCCTCTGTGGCTAAAGCCAGGAGGAGGCTGTGGGTTTGCATGCAGGGCAGGAGGGACGTCTCCTCCCTGACAGCCCACAGGCCCCCCAGCCTGGAGCGATCCCACTGCAGCACGTGCAGGGAGCAGCAAGACAGCCAGCAGCACTTCGACACACCTCAGGCGCAGGATGTGGCCTTTCAGAAACACCTTTAGATATCACCTCTGGGCAGTCACCTGAGAGGCACCGCTGCTGTTTGGGCTGTATTTCCAATGGGTGACTGGCCTTGGCAGCCCAGGGGCACTGACACAGTCACCTGCAGGCAGCCAAGCCCCAAATAGGGGGGCATAGGTATTACCCTTCACCTCCGTTTCTATTGCTGTCATCTGCTGGGGCAAAGGTAGGAATTGCAAAACCTGATGATTTTCCAAAACTTCCAACCAAAAGAAAAGCTGCAATTAAATGCAAATGGACGAGGTTCGTTAGCTTGCTTCTGAGGGCCAAGCCTTGCCCTGTGGCATTTCCCCAAGGACTGCTCTCAGGGCTGGCACACAGGAGCCGAGCAGGGAGTCTCTGAACTGAAAGTTCAAGATAATTCTTTTTAGAGCTGAAATCCCAAAGCTTTGCAACAGCTTCACATCTTCACACAGAGCCAGCATGGGGGCCAGCCCACAGAGATCAGGAATTACGTACCTCCTCCAGACAAAATAAATGTGCTGCAGACATCCCAGGCCAACAGCAATGGGATTGTGCTCACATATAAACCCATTTCCACCTTAGCCAGCAAGAGGATTCACACAGGGGCCTCCAGAGCTGACAAACACCAAGCCTAATGCACAGAGCTGGTCTCCACAGGAGGCCGGTGTGCCCCACGTGTCAGGCACCGAGGGATGCACAGGACAGGGTGACTATTTGTGACGCTGGGCTAGTGCATGAGAAGCAAAGTACTAACTTCTTTATTTCTGCAACTTTCCTGGATTGAATGAGAGTGAAAAGTCAATCTCCCTTTTAATATCCTTTGCTTCATGCCATCCGAGGTGTAACAATAACACTCAAAAGGAAATGGCTCTGGGGATAAGTGAAATTCAGTCTTTACATCCTTTTAAAACCTCTTAGGGGCAGAGGCCAAGTGGGGAGATGCTCAAAAGAAGCATCTAAACAGGGTGGACGCACTGGGCTGCTTGTAGCCCAGTTCCATCTGCTTTGATTTGTTTTTTAAAGGGTGTTAAACCATGGAGAAAGCTGTGCATTTACAGCTATGAAAGCAGCTGCTCTGTGGCAGGACCTCACAGTGCTGGGTGCTAGCTGTGAACACGCAGGTACCGGCTCGGGGATGCTGAGGAGCGATGGGATGCTGCCACGGCAGCAGGGTCAGCAGTGGGATGCCGAGGCACCGACAGGCTTCCGCTGTCTGGGGGAACAGGTTCGCACCAAGCTAATGAATTAATTTCACAGGAGCGAGCCCAGGTCCTACCGGCGCAGCACACACGGTGAGCCCACGCTCACCACCACTCACCCTGATAAGCACCGACATGCTCATCTGCTTCGTGCCAGACTTCCCTGCCCTTCACACAGACGCTGGTTTTCCCAACGTTGGGGCTGCCTCCTGCGCCAGCCCAGAGCCCAACATGCAGCTGCCAAAAACATCACCTCCCAAAGCACCTGAGATGACACAGCTCCTCCACACCAACCTGTGGGCACTTCTCAGGTTGAGGCAGGACAGAA